CGTACTAGAGTGTGAATGAATCCTGTTACAAAATTTCCTTAAGCTATCCATGCTAACAAGGCGATAACCATTTGCTGACTCGAAAGCGTTATAGGAATTCTCGTCTGAGAGGCTTTCGGTCTCAGAGACTTGAATCTTTCTGGAAGATGCAGGCACAGCTGGTGGTGGAATTAGCTCGCTGACCACATCGTCTTCATCGACGAAAGTAACTCCTACTGTTGGCCGTTTCTCTTTATTCTGGCGCTTTAAATCATGGACTGAAGTGCCTCTGAAACCACTTTTTCGCTTTTTCGAAACATTTTTCCTTAAAACAGCTTGTTTGCGTCCTTCTTTTGGCATTGTAATTCGAAAATATTATGGAGCAATGCGAAAGTATTATGGAGCAATGCGGAGTTTTGGCCGAGAGCTGAATTGGCTTAGTAACCTAGCTTAGAACCGAAAAGATTGTACCTGTGGAACGGACTCTGGTCACACCAGACCGTAGGAACGTGTTTTAACAAGTTATAACGCATCGATCGCAAAAATAATGCAAAATTTGAAACCGTTGCTATGGAAACCGAAAAACAACAAAAAAAACAAGGCTAAGAAAACCTCATTTTTTACTGACTCGCAAACTGGAAGTGGAAAAACTGACATCAAAACTTTAAACTAGACAGATTTGCCCAACTAAAGAGGCCATCAAAACATTTTCGAAAAAAATAAAGATTTTTAATTTTTTTTGACCAGAATGCCCCCTTAATGGTGTTTCTCACTCCCTAATTTTTGGATTCGCTGTTATTATGAGGATCCGCTGGGGGAGTTTAAGATGGAAGTCAGCAGGAATCACTTATCAATAGACAACAACAGTACATTTTTCAAACGAATAAATTGAATTTAATTGGAGTGCCAAAGTTTTCCTTAACTCAACAAGGAAATTTTTATTCAGTTAACTATTCGAACAGCTTTCCTTCTTCCCGGTTTTTTTTTTGTTTTTTTTCTGTTAACGAAGACAGTCAAAGTCCCAGTTGACAACTGCCCCATGCCCACCCTCCTCGTGATCTTAACCCACCCCATATGATGCTCATCATAAATGGAGAATTAGAAAAGAGTGCCTCAGCAAAACCCTTAGTTCTAGCCTTTTTGAGGGAATTCCGTCGAGTCTCTTACACTACTACAATTTGTACAATTTTGTCACGACAAATCTAAATTAAATTAGAGTGCTAAAGTTTTCTATACTTGAAACCTCGATTACAAGGATAGGTGGTGAGTAATTATCCTTTTTTCCTAATTGAAGTTATTTTTTTGGCGAAAAATATGTTGCAGTCTGCATGACACTAAATTAAATTAGAGTGCTAAAGTTTTCCATACTTTAAACCTCGATTACAAGGGAAATTTTATTCATGAAACTACTTGATCAGCTTAACTTCTTTCCACTTTTTTTAACTTTGAAAGCTCTCACTTTTTTTACGTAATCGGTCCATTAATAGAGAATTACACTAGTTCTCTGAATGCTCACTTCAATTTTATACCGTACCACCGCCTTTTAGATGTTCAATTACAATAATCTTAAAAAAAGAAACGATTGCGTACTTGTTAAGTACAATTATAATTTATCACTTATAGAGCGCTATTTACAATGACAGATCAACAGTGCTTTACAATCAAGACAATCGTCCACTTAAAGAGACACACAGCTGAGTCCTAAATATCTAATTTATAGCGAACTATTGCTTTTATAATTTCAATTACAGCTTGTCAAGGACTCAGGGAAAAGGTATATGGTAAGTAATTTTCCTTTTTTCCTAATTGAAGTTATTTTTTGGCAAAAATATTTCATAGTAGTTTGCATAACGTGGAGTTTTGTGTGGTTTAAAAACTCGACAGACTCCTCTTTAAAGAAGCTTAAGTTAACGGTGTTTCTCAGGCCCCAATTTTCGGATTCGCCATCATGATGAGGATCCACTGGAGGATTTAAGATGGGAGTCGGTAGGAATCAGTTGTCAATAGGGACCTTGTCCTGTTACCGCCCTCTGTAACGAACTTCTCCGTCTTTTTTATTTATTTATGTTTCTCGCTCGTTACCTTAAACTAACTTAACAGGGGGCAGTGGTGGATCCAGGGGGAGGGTCCGGGGGGTCCGGAACCCCTATCAGAGCTGACGCTTACAACTTTGAGACTGAAATTCTTACATCGACAGGGTCGTATATCAATTTTTAACTGGCTGATTTTTTTAATGAATCCAAGTAAACGGTAAGCGGCCAAGGAATTATAACGTGCAACCGCGACTGGTGGGAGGGGGTGTGGGGGGTGTGGGAGAGAAGTAATCTGCCTCAAAATAGTCCAACAGTCCTTTCTGAACCAAAGTTTGGACCCCCCCAATCAAAAATTTCTGGATCCGTCCATGGGGGGGCCGCATAGCCAAGGTTGAGCTCTGTTTGCTGGGAGCAAGTGATGAAACTGAGATCAAGAGTTCTGCCATATATTGGCCGTTTATTTTCTAACAAGTCAACTGAACCACATAATCTTAAATGGTAATTTATTTCCAGCAAAGGTGAGGGCAAACCCGCTGTCTAAACCAGTTGATACTCTCTCCCCCCATTTAATTAACTCCTGAGGGAGGGCCAAGGGTGGGGAAAACGTTTTTCTACTGAAGCTGGAGAAAAAGAGGCCTGAACTCTGGCCTGCATTGATTAAATACTCAGAACTAAGAGTCCCGTATGTAAACTGACCCCTACTAGTCCAACATTAACTCACGTAGCGAGCCACATAAATTCATTTATTCTCTGTAGGAATAAATTTCCTTTATTTTTTTTTTATTGATGTATTTGTACATTTTTGTGACGAATAAATTAAATTGAATTAGAGTGCCAAAGTATACTAGGAAAGTTTCATTCAGTTAAAGTGCACCTACACCCAAAAAATTTTTTTCGCTTAACGAAGTAAGCTTATTTTTTTGAGTATTTCTGCGCAAAAATTTTTTTATTTGCTCAAATCTTCAATTTTCTATGCCCAGTCAAAATACGGAAAATCGGCCGCCATCTTGCCCCACGACCGAGTTTAAAGAGGAATGGCTCTAGTGGGTAATGTGACGTCAAATCGAGAACACGAAAGTCTGC